ACAAACACTCTTTTCCAACAACACAAGAGGCGACTCTACACATGGACATCACCAGATGAGTGATACCGAAATCAGATTGATTATGTTCTCTGCAACCAAAGATGGAGGAGCTCTATACAGTAAGCAAAAACAAGACCTGGAGCTGATGGTGGCTCTGATTATCAGCTTCTTATAGCAAAATTCAAACTTAAACTGAAGAAAGTAGGAAAATCCACTGGGCTAGTCAGGTATAATCGAAACCAAATCCCTTATGAATACACAGTGGAAGTGAGGAACAGATTTAAGGAACTAGATTGGGTGGACAGAGTGCCTGAAGCAAATAGCAGAAAAGAGAAGGGAAACAAAATGCAAGGGAGAGAGGGAAAGTTACAGAAAATTGAATGCAGACTTCTAAAGAATAGCAAGGAGAGACAAGAGGGCCTTCTTAAATGAACAGTGCAAAGAAATAGAGGAAAAGAATACAAAGGGGAAAACCAGAGATCTGTTCAAGAAAATTGGAGATATTAAAGGAACCTTTTGTGCAAAGATGGACATGAAGGACAAAAGTGGTAGGGACGCTACAGAAGCAGAAGACATCCAGAAGAGGTGGCAAGAATACACAGAGGAATTATACCAGAAAGATCTTGATGTCCTGGATAACCAAGAGAGTGTGGTTGCTGACCTTGAGCCAGACATCCTGGAGAGTGAAGTTAAGTGGGCCTTAGAAAGCTTGGTTAACAATAATGCCAGTGGAGGTGATGGCATTCCAGTAGAACTATTTAAAATAATTACAAATAATTAAGAGACACCAGCAAGTTTGGTAAACTCATCAGTGGCCAGAGGATTGGAAAAGATCAGTCTACATCCCAATCCCAAAGAAGGGCAGTGCCAAAGAATGGTCCAACTACCGTACAATTGCACTCATTTTACACAATAGCAAGGTTATGCTCAAAATACTACAAAATAGGTTTCAGCAGTATGTGGACTGAGAACTCCCAGAAGTACAAGCTGGATTTCGAAGGGGCAGAGGAACTAGAGATGAAATTGCTAACATGTGCTGGATTATGGAGAAAGCCAGAGAGTTCTAGAAAAACATCTACTTCTGCTTCATTGACTATGCAAAAGCCTTTGACTGTGTGGACCACAGCAAACTATGGCAAGTCCTTAAAGAAATGGGAGTGCCTCAACACCTTATCTATCTCCTGAGAAACCTATACATGGGACAGGAAGCAACAGTTAGAATTGGATATGGAACAACTGATTGGTTCCAAATTGGGAAAGGAATACGACAAGGCTGTATATTGTCCCTCTGCTTATTTAACTTATATGCAGAATACATCATGCGAATGGCCGAACTGGAGGAATCCCAAACTGGAATTAAGATTGCTGGAACAAATATCAATACCCTCAGATATGCAGATGATATCACTTTGATGGCAGAAAGTGAGGAGGAATTAAAGAACCTCGTAATAAGGGTGAAAGACGAGAGTCCAAAAAGAAAAAAAAAACAAAGGTCTGAAGCTCAACATAAAAAAACCTAAGATCATGGCCTCTGATCCCATCACCTCCTGGCAAATAGTCATCAAAGCTGCTCTGATCCCATCACCTCCTGGCAAATAGTGTCATCAAAGCTGCCAACGTGACTTTGACCCAACTCCGGGAGGCAGTGGAAGACAGGAGGGCCTGGTGTGCTCTGGTCCATGGGGTCATGAATAGTCGGAACGACTTAATGACTAAACAACAACAAAATATCTACATACCTGAATATCTAACAACAGACGCCTGAATGGGATATAGCTGTATGAAGGATTTCTTGTATTCAGATTAACATGGTGATTCTTAGGTTGGTAGAAGTAAATTAAGTTTAATAAAGAATCTTGTGAAACCCCATAATCTTTTGATAGCTTTTGTAGGCTAGGATTCAGTCATCAGATGGGTTGATGAATTTTATTATACCGTACATACATGGACACAGATATGCAGTTGATACAGTGGTGCCCTTGTACTTCATTACTCAAATGTATTTATGCGTACATCTGGCAACTGAAGATACCTATACGGTGTAATGAAGTATGATCTATGAATGCATATGCTACAACAATTCTGGTAGTGCGACGACTTTTTTTTTTTTGCCAGCAATACAGATTGTACTGTATCATGCCCCTGTGTCTTCAACTTTTGCATTCCCAAGGGCATGATCTAATCCATATTAAACAATTGAACCTGTGATCCTGTCAATATCTTGGTTGTGTAGGGACCTGTCACTGTCTATTAAAGAAACTCATGTCCTTAATGGAATTCTTGTAGGAAATTTTTCAGAGGAGTGGTTTCACAAAATAAATTTAAAACACAAGTTGTGTAGGAAAATACATTCTTTATTATTCTTCTAAAACAACAAGCCATAAATATAATATACCTTCACCTCTTTTTTTCTTTTAAAAAAATCTTATTGTTCTTCTTTAAATTCTAACAGAAAGAAAAATAACTGTACAGGCCATCCACCCAACCTTCCTTCCCCCTATCCAGGAACTGTGCCTATCTCTTTTTCCCTGGGTCATTCTGACTGTACCAAAGAGATAAATTCCACCCCACCCCACCTGTTCCCACTTTGGTTTTATTGTACCAACACAGAAGAGCACCATTGCTTGTCTAGGACACCTTTACTAGTAGAATGAGACTGTTTTTCATTGTATGTTCTTGACTGTTATGAAGAACAGGATACTGCTAGGATAGACTATCCTAAGCTGTGTGCTGTCTGTACCTGATATCTTGAAGCATACAAAGAGCATTTGCACAAACAATGTAGAAACCTTGATCTACATTTTATGCATGCACATTTCTGCAGTGGTGTCACATGCCATGCATTATGAATATTCACATTGCAGCATGTTCACATTTCTAACAATCTTCCAGTCAGTTTTGACTGGAATAGACCCAGTCTAGTAGGTTTTTTTCATTTCTAGAGGTTTTCTATTTACATCTGTTTTTGAGGATCTTTATTTGAAACCAAGTCTGTTCACCCATATAGAGAACAACTTTTAAGTGAATTAGTAGAATTAATAGAATTAATGCTCAGATAATCAGGACTTCTATTTGAAGTTAGTAAGGCTATTTTGCATGAGAAATGTGCATCCTTTTACTTGTGAAAAGACTCTATGGGCTTGTATATACAAATCCTAACAGCAGTGTCATTGTATGAATGAACTCCTGGAAATATCTCTAATATATGCTACATACCCATGCACTTCTGTCAGTATTTTGATTATAGGTACTTTATTACAGACATTCCTTCTAGCAGGATTATACTGGTTCTGTTGAAACACTCCAGTGGTGAAATATTTATGTTCCCAACAAGAGAACCTTCTTTCATACAGAATCTGGTAAAACCAATTTTTGCTATTGTTTCCCTGCACTGCTCACAAATAGAATGCATGCTAGTAACAGCAATACAAGAATAAGGATGTTTTAGTTCCCTGTATTCTCAGCATGTTGATCCTGGTCAGTTTTATATGATAGGAGAAAGAAGAGATGCAAGAAATGTAAACACATGTTCTGTGGGGCCCAAGTTCAAGAGTGTCAAATTAGACATTCCAATACCAGCTGAAGGCACAGTTTCTCAACAGGTTAAAAAAGGACATTTCCCAGATTGGTTTATTGCATTTTAAAATCACTTCACGGCTTCTCCATTACCCATTGTACTCTATAAGTGCTCCAGTGTCTTTAAGACCAACCCATATCCATTAATTATCCTTTACTTTGCTCAACAGCTATGTTGTCCCTTCACTTACTTCCCCCTTTCAAATGTTGATTTTTAAACCTGGAAGTATCAGGGCCAATCCTATATCATATCAATGAAAATTTTAAAAAAATCTAAAGGTGTAATTGAACTCACAACATGGAAAACAACATCATATTGGCAACAAAGGGAAAACTGTCAAGGTGTAAATAGGAGATGGGAAGAGGAATGGGGATTTTTTTCCCATTTCTTCTCCTCTTGCAGATTTTCATTCCCCAGTTTTTCTCATCCCCTAAACACACATGCGCTCATCATTGCTTCTGTGCAACGATGTCACTATAATTTCTTACCAGTAAAATAGAGATCTATAAATATACAGCTCTGACATCCTTTCAAGTATGATTGTGCTGTCCAGTTATTACAGAGGTACGTTCCTTTGGGAAGATTATAGAGAGAGTAAAGTTGGAGTTGTATATCCAGCAGGCAGAATGCTAGTGCTGTTTTGCTTTGTATATAAGTAGGAGCAATACAGACGTACACACACTGGCTAGAGTCTTTTCTTAGCCTAGTTTTGCTCATCAGCCTTGGATAAAGCAGAAATGGAGCTGGATGCTTGGAGGAACTACAGTACATACATGGTACATAAAGTGAGATACTCCAGTTAGTTTCCCACAGTGACTTTGCTGTGTTCCATGGTGGCTCTTCTTTTTCTGCCACAACATTTCTACAAGAAGCACATTCTGTCTTTTTGGATCCGATAGTTATTTACTAACAGTATAGAAGAAGGTGGAATTGCTGCTGCCTGAGAAGGAATCTCAAGGCCTTCACAGTGTTCTTGTTTTCTGATAGGGGATTTCGGAGGGCGTGAATTAAATTAAAAGACAGTGAACACTGATCCCTTTCAAAGCCATCAGGAGCAGCTAGAGAAAGAAATGTAGATCATCTAAAGGCATAAGAATGCAACAAATGAAGGAAGAACTCCGATGTTCTTGTTCCTGCCCAGCTGAGGTGCTTGCTGGGCTCTGCTCCTGAGTTGCTGGAGAGATTTATTAGAATCTGGGCCAGCTGCCAAGTTGTTTCATGACTGTAAAGATCATAGTATCCACAAAAGCTGTGGCTGCACGACCTCTCGTGTCATCTTCCTATCCCAGGAATGCCCGCTGTGATGGTCTAGAGCAGGTTACCATGGCAATATGTACTCTTCCCTGGAGATAGCACTTTATTCCACTTTCTGTGATGTAAAATGAGTCCTTATGCTGGTTCTGCCTCTGCCCAGTCTCTGCCATTATTTGAGAAGAGGCTGATATGTGAAAGATGCTCAAAATAAGGATCCATAAGGTCAGTTTATTAGTGTGCACATGCATTCATGTGTTCAGATATGCCTTTCTGTGTCTGTGTGCATGCAGTATTATATGCATGGATGCTTCTCAAAATATTAGTGATACTACTCATATTCTCAGTAAGACTCTTAAGTAGGTCCTCATTATAGAAATGTGCAAGTGTTGCTTCTACATACATGTCCCTAACAACAAGATGTATTTATGAGGAACATTTTCCAATCTGTGAGCTACATCTACTTTCTCCTGTATTTTACACAGAAGTGCATTGATGTTTCAGGCATAGCTCCAAATTATTTACCCTAATACATGGGATCAGCCACATGATTACACAAATGATTCCTGTCATGTCTTCCTATGTATGCTATTTCCTCATAACCACTTTCATGCTCCTCGCCAACGTACTATTTCTGAGTAGATCAGAAAGGCTGCCCTTCTCTTAAATCCTTAAGACCACTTCTGCTACAAAAACTGAAGGGCCCTTTCAGATTAATTTTCTAATATCTCAGGAAGAAAAACATTTTCCCTTTCAGATTATACACATTAGCCTTCCTAAAGTAAGTGTCCTTTTAGTAACAGTGATTCACGTTTCCTTGTCTTTATCTTTTCTTTCATTTCAAATACTTTTTAATGCCCTTCATTACATGGATCATAAATTATCTATATCAGGTGATACTGCTGGCACATTTTTTTAAGGTTTCTTCTAACAGTAATGGTACGCAATGGAATAGTTCCTATGGAAATGCTGGTATACACATAGGGGTGATCAGCCTGTGAAAAAGCATTTATTTGTCCAAACTCTATTATTTAAACTAGGGTGCCAGAGGAAGTGTACAGCAAGGCTGCTTTTTAAATTAAAGGATGTTCATTCTTTTCTAGTGCAAGAGAATTAAATTCCCTGTAGCTACAGAGCACTCAGTTAAGAACTTTACATTAGTTCTGGAGTGGTCATGAACTATCCTATCTAATCCATCTGATGAAGGGCATTATACTTCAGTGTAGTAGTTATTTGTGAAAGCCAGTGTGATGTAGTGGCTACAGTGTCAGACTGGGATGCAGGAGATATAGGTTTAATTTTCCTCTTGGCGATGGAAACTCACCGGGGGTAGCAAGGATAAACCATTTCTTGGATACCTTACATACCTCAAAATCCCTAGCATGGTTGCCATAAGTTGGAAGCGACTCAACAGCTATAACAACAGTTATCTGTGAACCCCTTGGCAGTAACCTGTGAATTTCAATATTTTAGAAGGGTTGGTGCTTTTGGCTGCTTATATTGTTTGTAAAAGGTATTGCAATGCTGTGGAGACTTGGAAAGGTGTGAAGCAGAGATGGAAGGATGTCTGGTTGCCTGAGCTTCCCCAGATAAGACGATCAGTGGGGCATCTTGTGCAAAGAGGAAAAAGGATGAGCACTTGAGGTCAGACTACAGTTTATTGACTCGGAATTACATGAGGGCAGAGGTAAGTGAAATGAATTGGGTCCACAGCCAGGTGTCTTGGACCCAAAAGCACATTTCACTTCTAGGACGAACAAAATAGCAGAGAAGACCATCTGTTATGTCTGAGAAGATGTGAAAAGTCCCAGGCCATAGGCATCTGTTGTATCCTGTCCTCTTCTGCCACTAATTTCTCGGGCAATTCATGCAACAGAGGAGATTTGCTTTTGTTCTTCATGTTCGCCTTCTGTATCACCCATTAACGGCTGCCTTTTTTTCAGCTCCCGATGGTACTTAGCCATGAGAGATGCATAGATACAGCCATAAGCGGCTGCCACTACCATCATGATACAGACAATGCCACAAACCACCCCTGCTATGATGACTGTGCCAATAGCCCGGCGCACACTGACAGGCCGGTATTTTTGCTTCTGGGGGCAAACTACACTGGGCTCCTCTTCTGTTTCAGGACTTGTTTTGGGCTTAGGAGCAGCTGGGCTTCCCTTATTGCAAGGAGGGCCAATGTTGTCCAATACTGTAGAGCTGTTTTCATCTTCCAGCTGGGAGCAGTAGTTAAACATCTCCATGGGCACCATGCGCATATCCTTGCCCCGCAGCTCCTTAGGCAGGGTACATGCCAGCTGGTCTAACTTTCCTCCTGTCCCACAAGAAAAGAAGAAATACACTTAGTACCTTTTTGTTATGTCAGACCATACCATACTCAGTGCAAAAATCCATTTCAGTACGGATGTTGTGGCTGAAGAATTAAATTGATTGTATATGGTGGTCTGTGTGTACTTCCCTAGCTAAGGCCCACATCTAAGTAAATCACTAAAATATGTTTATATGGCAGAATTAGAAGGTGAATCTCTCTTACAACATTGTGCTATCCTCCTCAGTAGATTCCCTCTTTTTCTCCACAAGGGTCTGGCAACAAGTGATTTAACACCACATCAGCCAAGCAGAAATTCTAGGTAATTTAGATAATCACTGAAAGCCTTCAACAAATGCTTATGTGTTTAACAAGGAACAAAAAAGTGTGCAATTTGAATGATACTGGATAGCCTTGATGCTGATCTCTTTATACACAAATGATACTTAAGATCCCCAGTTTCAAAGGTTCAGTCCGGCTAGGAACAAATTGGCAACCAGTGGCAGTAGAATAATATCAGAGCTATTTGATTTATCCATCCAGTAAATACCCTGTTTCCCCAAAAATAAGACCTAAACTGAAAATAAGCCCTAGCATGATTTTTTAGGATGCTCGTAATATAAGCCCTACCCCCAAAATAAGCCCTAGTTAAATGAAACCCTGCCCTCCACCCTTATGCAGCATTGTGCAGCAACCAGAAGATGACATGACTATAAAATAAAACATCCCCTGAAAATAAGACTAATGCGTTTTTTGGAGCAAGAATTAATATAAGACCCTGTCTTATTTTCGGGGAAACACGGTATAATATGGACGATTTTGACCTTGACCTCTAAGTAATATATGCTTATAGATGAGCATCTTTTATCATTCCTCTGTAGTTGCCCTTCTGAGTATATTAGGCTTCCATATGATGCATTCTGCATATATACTGAAGAGATAAATAGATAAAACACACTCTTATTTGACATATTTACCTATTGGAATCCATTCTGCTTCTCCATATCCTGGCCTAACAGTAGCTTCTTGTCCAGAATATAGGTTTCTTAATCACTGAGCTAGCTCACACATGAATTTAAATAAGTAATCTTGGAACTTCTCTGTTTCAGGTAATCACATAGTGAAACATAAAGTGACTTGAGCAATTGTATTTCTTCAAAAAGGCAAGAATATACTGTACCCACATTTAGTAGTCTTGTATTTCTGTTTCTCTCATCATCTTTTTCCATATCAGAAAAAAAATCACATAGAGGCAGAAATTCCCTCCTTGCTCCTTGTTTGATGCTTTGCAACCTAATCCTAAACATATTTCTGCAAATGTCAGCCCCACTGAGTTTAATGGAAGCTTCTGTCCCTTCAGTGTATTTGTAATAAGCAGTCTTTGTACAGAGTGTGAAAGCACATTGTTTCAAAAAGAGGATGCCATGCATGTTCTTACCCTCTGCAGATTATGGTACTATGCTGTTTCCTCTATTATTCTGGTCTTCTTGTATGTGGACTACCCTGTTTCCCTGAAAATAAGACCTAACCTGAAAATAAGACCTAGCAGGATTTTTCAGGATGCTCATAATATAAGCCCTACTCCAAAAATAAGCCCTAGTTAAGTGAAACCCCGCCCTCCACCATTGTGCAGCAACCAGAAGAAGATGACATGAGTGTATTTGAATAAACATAGATTGTTGTACATGAAAAAATTAAACATCCTCTGAAAACAAGCCCTAATGCATTTTTGGAGCAAAAATTAATATAAGACCCTGTCTTATTTTAGGGGAAACACGGTATATTGTCAGCAGCACTATGGACTAGCCTAAATTCTCCATGTATAATGAATTACAGTAGGCTGATCTTAAAATCTCTTGATTATTAAGTCTGTTTTCCTCAGAAATGGGTGCATGGTAACCATATCAACTTGAGGTAAAAGGTAACTACTGGAATATAAATAAATACCTAATGCAAGGCCAGGTTTTTCAGCTAAAGACCTTCATCTTTAGGGGTATAACCCAGTCCAAAGCAGGTGCATATCTGTTTCCTGGATTGACTGGATTAGTATTTCAATTAGTTGACCCACATCTAGTTCCTCACTTGCCCCAGACAGATCTTCAACATCTCTAATGCTTCTTTAGCATTTGATTGTCACTGAACTCCAAAGAACACTAACTTGATTGTGACAGCTAGATCCTGGGAACCCAAGTGCATGTCCTGCAAGGAGCATTATATCTGGGTTCAGTTGATGCGTCTCTTAATCTCAACCCTCATCGTAATTGAGCAGCATGCTTTGGATTTGTACAGATCCCAAATATTCAAACTGGGGTGGGGTGGGATTAAAGACAGAGTCCCCTAAAACAGTCTGAATCTGTATACCTTGAAGATTTGATTGATAGTTTTCTCTTTCCAAAATCTTTGTATAAGGAAAACCTTAGTGTGGGCAGAGGAAAGAAAGAAGAATTGTAGTAGATGATGACTGACACATTCAAGCCTGCAAATAATGTTACCAGGGCTGTCCACTTCCAATGTTTGAAGGGAAATATGTTGAAATTTCTTATCATAGTATTAATACAGTGTACTGTACTCTTTGGCTGTTCTTTCTCCAACAAACAGAAATTTTAAACAAGTTTTTATGGAGTCTGGGGCCAGACAGGATGTAACATTGGGCATTTGCTTGGGCAATACTATTTGTTTCATGTTCCTTCAGCTTCTGCCACTGCATGCTACTTAGCCACCAACCACCCTGTCTTCTTGCACTTTCCATGATTTTGGTGATAACTGAGCAAAAAACAAAAATGTCCAATTGTTTTTCATTCATCCTAACTCCTTCACCCTTGCACCTATCTTTCTGAAGTTTTGCAGGTTTATTGCTTTACAGGTATCTCTGTGTCAAGCACATTTTCATGTAAACTCCTTAGGCAGGAATAAGGAATAAGAGGAAATCCCCACCCCCATTTAAACACTCCAATAAAAAGCCTACTCAGTTATTCATGTTTCTCAACGAGAGCCAAACTTATGCATTTTCAATTTGCTTAACAATTGTTCACCTTTGTAGGAATGAATATGTCTGTCTCTCTTGGAAATTCCAAACTGCAAACCATCCCACACATATTATTTTGATACCTGGAAAGGTTGATCCCTTCACAGGGGGCAACTATCCTTGAAAATTTCATCCAGTTCTGACAAGAAATGGCAGAATCTAAAAATTAGTAATAGGCACTTTCGAAAAAGATTGCAATTTAAAGATATGTACTACAAGAAACTTTGAATCTTCTTGCTGGGAGGTAAACTCATCCTTGGGGCTATTATATTTTCAGATTTCATCAAATAATTAAATATAAGACATTTATAGACATTTATAGCCATTTTCTGTTTATGGTGAGTGGGAGGCACAAAGATTTGGATTTCTGAACTGGATTTAGATTTGGACCTGAATCCAGTTAGGCAAAATGTGAATTAGCGTAAGCCAAACTGTTTTTTTAAATAAATTTTTGAATCATAATCTGAACAAAATTTTGTGGGTAACATAAACTGTTCAAAAGCCAGGGGGGACTTATTCAGGTAACTGGAGGCTTAAATTATATATAGGACAACCTTAAATTGCAGGGTTAATTGATTGCCTGGAATATGCTACTGGATGGAGAAAATGACAACTTAAACATCTGCTTGCCCCAGCCTCCTTCAAACCACCAGCAATGCCAGCTGTCCAGGTCTGATGACATTGCAGTTACTGCCCATTCAACCTAGAAGTCTGGAATCTCCCCATTAGATCTGTCTCTTGAACCATCAGGACATGTCAAAAGTGAAATTGTCCTTAGCCATCAGCAAAGCAGGTGTTTGGCTCCTGGTCCAAGAGATCTCTCTCTGCCTCTATCTGTCTACTACTTTGTATACAGTCTGAAGGAAAGAAGATTTATTCTAAGTTGCTACTTAGCTTTTAGCCCAGAAATGAGCACCCAAGGAAGAATGTGAAGACAGATAATAAATATTTCGAAAAGACGCAAACAGAAAAGATAACCATTCATTACCAAAAGCAGTATCAGCATTTTAAGCTCTTGCTGTAGCACAGGAGTCACTGGATTAACAATTAGAAATACTTAACATTATCCATCCAGTAATGATCAAACACACTGTCAATTAATCGACTCAAAGATCACTGTAAATTAACAAATTATCAGAGACATTTGCCTCTACTGAAGTAAACTGTAAGTCCATTAAGAGACTGGAGGGAAAGGGTTGCTATGGGCACCTTTCACACAAGTGGCATAGTTATGCTTAGAATAAAGGCACAAAAACTGTAAGAAAGCTGCTGGTATTTTATTGGTTGTTTTTTTTTTTTAGTCATTGGAACTGCCTTTTAATGGGAAATATCCAAACATGCCACAGGTCTCTCTTTTTGTACTATAGCAATCTTTTCCACAGTGTTGTGATTTTGGGACCAGTAAATTCTGAAACTCCCAAAATGATCAAGTTTATTTGATTCTCCCTGCTCTATCTCCACACATAATGAATCCACTTCTAGAGAGCTGAGTGAGTGCTACTGTCTGCAAAATGACCAATATCTTGGAAGGCACTTGCATCCCAAACTTCAGCATGCTTACTGTGGCATAAAACAGCAGGATTATAATACATCGTGACTATTCTTTGGTCCAAAAACTAGAATTTAGGTCAGCCTGACATGTTCATTTTCTCTTTTCTTTCTCTCTAACTGCTCCTTTCAGGCCCTCTATACTCAGCAAGGACAAGTGGTTAATAACTTTCAATATTAATACGATTAGATTTCCCCCAAACATTGCCTACCTCTGTAAGAGAACCATTCCATCCAGTATTTGAAATCTCTCAGGTTGCAGTCACATTCCCAGGGGTTGTCTCCCACTTGCAATTGCTGCAGACTGACTAAGGGCTCAAACGTTACCCTGTCCAAACTCTGCAGGCGATTTGACCTGAGAGAGAGCCATCGGAGGGAGGAGAGGTCATCAAAGATGCCTGAGGGGATCTGAGCAAGCCCATTGATGGACAGATCCAGCTGACACAAAAGAACAGTGTTCTGCAGAAGATCCTTGTCCAAACTCCTGATGCTATTGTTCCTCAGCTGTAGTTCAGTGAGATTTACCAGGTCTCTGAAAATATTTTCCGGAAGCTGATCTAAGAAGTTGTTGGAAAGATCCAGTCTCTGGAGGGCAGAGAGATTGGAAAAAGCTTGTCCTGGTAAACTGCTTAATTGGTTGTTGAGGAAAAGGAAGGTCCTGGTATTTGTAGGAATGTCAAAGGGGATAGACGAAAGGCCCAATCCACTACAGTCTACCTCCAGAGTATCACTGTTGCACTTGCAAGAGTAGGGGCAAGTAACAAGGGACTCCGCTGCACAGAATGAAAGCCAGCAGGCAAGCCCTACACAAAAGAAAAGGGAAAAGAGATCCATATTAAAACATCCTCTGTCATTGTCTGAACATACAGTGTCAATTATGAATCATACCTGATGTTGCAGCCAGATGCTAAAGTGTCATAACCATACAGTGGGGTCTTGACTTGAGAACTTAATCCGTATTGGAAGGTGGTTCTCAAGTCAAAAAGTTCTCAAGTCAAATCTGCATTTCCCATAGGAATGCATTGAAAACCATTTGATCCGTATCTGCTCTTTTCCGTCCATAGAAACTAATGGGAAGCTGCTATTCCGCCTTCGACCACTAGAGGGGGATATTTTGTTTCTTTTTTTTTCTTAGGTCAAGAAAGGTTCAGGGAAGGCAGGGAAAATACAGTCCAGGCAGGACAGTACCAGGCAGTCTGAAGACTGTCTCCCAATCCACTCTCTAAACGCTGGGAGGAGTGAGGAAGCAGACAGGCACCCTTTTCACTGGCCAACAGTTAACCGAAAGTTCACATTTTGCACTTTCCCTGCCTCCCACATGGTTTTTTTTCAGTTCTTAACTCAAATCTAAGTACTTAAGTCAAGTCAGTATTTTCCTATGGGAGCGGTTCTTAAGTCAAAATGTTCTTAACTCAAGTCGTTCTTAAGTCAAGACCCCACTGTATTAGTATCCAGGGCAAGAGTATTTCATGGACTGGGGAAAGGAAGGGTGCATGAACCTGAAATTTTGAGGGATGCACTGCTTCTTTGGTCATGAGATAAGGATTTATCTCCAGGCCTCTCTTTAACAGTCCTGGTCTAGCATTATCTTACCAGTAGCAAATTTGTTTATTTATTCTGTATTTACTCGGGTGAACATTGGTGATTCCACTTAAATAGATACTGTACGTATCAACCCTTCTGTCTCTCAGAAAAGTAGTATAATTAAATTGGTAGCTAAATGAACTTTCTCACAGATGACTCCTGTAATTCCAGATGGTTTCCCACAGTGTGAGCTTCCTTTCAACCTTTTATGGACTGGCATAGCAAAGAATAAACTTCCTTACATTATCGTGAGGAAGAAAGGTCAGTGTATCCTAGAGGGCTTTGCTGCCACAGTGCTAATATCATAAACAAAATGAAGCCAGGCATGATTAGGGGACAACTCAAAGCTAGAATATATGATAGATAACTTTTTATAAAATTTATAGCTGTATATACACTTTAGGGCACAAATTTTCAATTCAGAGTTTTCTTGAAAATGGGATTTGTGATTGGCAGAAGTGGTTTTGATTACAGCATGTGCTTTATTTTAATTTATATTTTGTTCATGCAATCAGTGCCCAAATAGCCCTTTTTGTACATAAATACACAGTCAAATGTTTAGCTAATATATAAGTACTTGTTGAAAGGTGGTATAAGGCAGGCTGAAAAATAAACCTTGCATCATACCCTGAAGGTAACCAAATAAGCAGTTAGAGGATGGAGCACAGCAAGTAATAAGCTTCAAACACATGATTTCCCAAGAGAGAATACACTGCCATCAGCTTCCAGTGGAATGATAGAGCTACAAGAAAAGCAGGTTCTTACTGATTTTAATTATCACAAAGATGAAGACATGCTCTCATATGCTGATGTGTTTTTATTTTCAAACTTTATCATATATTTTGGATTTAAGTCCAAAATAATTGAATTATTGTCCTGAATAAAGACACACCCAAATCTGATTTCTAGTCCCTCTGCTTTTTGAAATGCTTTAACCAACATTCCATATTTGTACCTGATCTCCAAGCTGACTTTGGTGTCAGTTCAGTGCAGTAATATGTGCATTAGAATATTTCAGTTTCCAGACGCAGGCTATACTGTATACAGTTCTTCATAAGTTGGTATTTCACAGTTAAGTGAACTTATATCTGCATAGGCTTAGCAGAAGATCAAAACTGGGGAAATCCACAGTGAACTTTTGGAGACCTTACGGTTACATTCCTACCAAGCAGAGGTCAGAGATCACAGCATAGAAGTTACAATGGTTGCTATGTACCCTGAAAACAGATTCTTTTGACCTCAGAGTTTATACTAGATGGTCAAAAGTATTTAATTCCACTCAGGGCATCTCACCCTACGGATGCCACTTGATGCTTGAAATAACAAGAAGGTAAGGAAAGTGACATGAATTGTTCAGGTGATCCTGCCTTTCTTGGATGCTGAACAGAAGTACCATATTAATAATGCAGTGATATCTGTGATGAAGAGAACATTTAGCTGCTTTGTATACAGGGAAAGGTGAGAATACATCAGGTAAGGCTTTATAAGTAACACTCTTCTGTGTTCATTTAATCAAATGCTTTCCTGTCTGCTACTCCCTGGCTGAGCTCTTTTTGGATACTAACTTAGTATACTGCTGTCTCTTCTGAAGATCTGGGAACATTATGCAGTCAGGAATTTAATTTTAAACAACCGTCTGCTACTGGAAGGATGGCTGGGAGAGGAGGGTACTTCTTACTGAAGTTGCTGACAAAACATGCATTTCAGCATTACCAGCTATGCAAAAGACAACAGTGAGTCTGTGTTCTGATTTCATGAGGATGTGCATTCAGATCTTGAGAGCCATTTTGCTGGTGGATGCTCAGCAGAGAGAGCATCTAGATAGTTTTTATCCTGTGGAAAGCAGTGATAGCTATGAAACAATAGTCTAAGTGAAATATTCAGCACGTTGTACGCTCTTATGTCAAGAAAAGGTAATGTTACTTTGTGGGATATTCAGGTCTCTAGTAAAATGATCCACGAATATAAGATTAGGCCAGAGCTCAGTGACATTTAGACTAAATAATTCACAACAGCAATCTAGGAGGCAAGGGAGTATAACAAAGGCAAGACTCCCAGGTGAAAGGAAATAATTCCCTCAGCAAGTTTCATTGACATCTCATATTCTGACCCATAGTCACAATTATTGGTGGGAGTCTATACCACCTGCTTAGCTTAACAGCATGTATCCTCATTAATGAACCTTTTCCGTAATGCTCTGCCGAGACCACTTGGTGGTTCACTGAAGCACACAGAGCCTCCTTTTTTTTACTTGCATTGTTCCTTCTTTGGAGTCTCACCATTCTCTGACTCTGGAACTGATTCTTTAGTGAGCATCTTGTCATGAAGAGAACGGTATAAATTTATTTGGAAGCTATTAGTTGGAAAGACGAGTTGGAGTGTGCATGACAAGATTTGACTGGATACATCAATATTCCAGTGGTGGCGGTGGTGCTGCTGACTTACATTTATTTCTCTAGCCCCATTAGCCCCATCACAGCCTGTCTGAGTGCATGCTGCCAGACTCAGTACAAATAACAGGTTAATGGAATCGACCTGACAGAGGTTGTTTCCTAAATGATGCCAACTGCTCCTTTTGTCTTTGATATTTGCAAAACTTGTGAGTGTGCAGAATATAGCCTGCCACATAATGAAGAGCCATCTTAAACATTTGAGCCAGGTCCATATAAATATGTCTATTTAAATTGAGTCGTCCAATGAATGCCGGTCACTCAGGTTCTTGTGAACACGTGTATCTTTTGAAATTTGCATTTTTTTGGTCACCCAGCCTTACTACAGAAGGTAGTTTATAGTGTTCCTACTGGGAGTGTGTGACTTTTTCTGCACAACAAAATAATGGGAGTGGATGGCTTTTGTTGCTGAGGGCAAAAATGTCAGTCCCTGGAGAGGAAATAATATAGTTTGGTATGAAAACCAAAGATAACCAAAGTTTTAAAGAACATTTGTTTTGAAGCATAATGGAACCTCCCATAAAGTTGTGCACTGTTTGCTACTGGTAGCAAATTGGTGCCTCCTATTTTGGTCTTCTCAAGCTCATTCAACCCACAAGCCCTACTAAGCACATGCCACAGTTTTTTACTATGTGAAAGCACTGTAGTGTCCCCTTGTGGTATCATCTTCTTTATAATTCATTGTTTAGCAGTCATAGAGCACAAGCAGTTTCCTTGCTATTAAAAAATAGACACTTTTCTTCCTCAACCCCACCCCACGTACCCACCCCATTATTTGAGAAGCAGGGGCAAACCACCTGTACAGTACTTACAGCTAGTTTCTCTCCATCTCAGAGAAAGCCTGTTCCTCCACCAGAAGCCTCCACTCAGAGACAACATGATGGTTGTTGTTTTCCCCACGGTGTCTTGTGCCTGCCAGCCAGGCTGGCACACGTTCTTGTAGGACTGAACAACAGCCTGGCTAATCTAGAAGACAAAACCAGAGCAAGAAGCATATAGCTATCAGGGTGGCTAACAGAATCAGATATAGGCCTGGAAGATTTCTCAGTAAAGCTAACTGGCTGTACTAAGAGGCAAGGTGAGACCTCCTTTTAACATTTTTAAGAACTTCAAAAAGAATTAGATGGTAAGAGCAACTTCAAAACTGCTGCATATGTATGTTGTATACAGGTTTTGTACAGCAATTCCAGTGATTGTGCTAGGAAATCCCTTTGCAATGAGCAGACATTTGGAGATTATTGATAAAAGAGAGTAGGTAGAGTATGTGAAATGTGTGGCAAAGGTAGCAGCAACAAAGCTTAAGGTAAGCTCTGCTAACCCTTGAATATGTAGACAAAGCATGGGAAGAACAGAAGAATAATGAACTCATGACATTCACCACCTTAAAGATGGCTAGCTCAGTGGAGCTACTAATACAGTATTTTAACAATAAGGTTTAGACACAAAGGAGAGTGGGAGGTGTCTTGAGTTGTCTTGTTGGCCACTAAACATAAAGCAGATGATAGATGTGCATCTTTACTGTTCCTTGTCACAATACTCCCTACAAAAACTCACAATAGCATTAAGAGTGCTGTCTGGATAGTGTATTGCACTTGTAAACAAACATCCTGCACTAAAACCCAACTCCTGTTTTGTAGCTGCACATACTGCTCCAAACCTCTACATATTTACAAAGAAGCATCCAAGTAAGTGATACCTTTACCTTATTTTGCTAAACATAAATATCTCATAGAATGTCGTCCATTGCCCTCTTAATTTGTCCTGAGCAAACTCCCAGCCATGTTTAAGCCTGCCCGTAAGTTAAACCTCCTGACTGCAACTGCCTGTCTAATTCCAAATATGCACACTACTAGAAGAGGAAGTACCCTGGGGTTTACTTCGTTCTTTAACTCCGTGGCAGAGCAGATCCTTTTCATGAATAAGATCCCAAGTCCATTCCTGGTGTTTCCAGGTAGGACTGAAGAGGATTTCTATTTGAACTCACAGAGAGCTTTTGCCAATTTGTGTAGACTGTACTAAATTAGACAAGCCCATGCCTTGACTCTGTATAAGGTCCCTCCAGTTACTATTGGACAGAACTTGGCAATTAGTTGTTCGGATTCTCAGCATCTCCCTACAATATAACTGTTCATAGCTTTGCTCTATGATAGACACAAAATCAGGTGAAGACTTGCACTGGTGATTGGGCCATCACAAATCTAATGGCAGGGATAAATCTGCCATGTCACTTCAAACACCATAATCTTTGCTGACAGGATACAGTAATCAAGTGTAAAAAAATAATGGGATTGGGCAAATCACTGCGAGTTACTTTACACAAAGCAAGACTAGCCACGTGACCATAACATTCATAAATTTGCAGGATAAACTTTGGTGAGCCCCGGGTTGTGCCCCTCAACACAGCCATTCCCCATGGCCGTTTGTGATCTGCAGGGACTAGATGCAGGGTAATCGGTGCTTCCAAGCACTGTGAGTGTGTATGGTCGTGTCTTCAGGGGCGGTTAGCGCCTCTGTGGAGCTGCCAAACGTCCCTCTCATCCCTCCAGGATGGTAGAGTAGAAGGGATGTAATCCCCGCCATGGGGATGCCCATCTTCAGTGCGGGGGTGGGGTGGGGCAGATAGAAAATTTAAAATTATGCAGCAACTCAGGAGCTCAAGGACAGCGTTATGAAGTGATTGGGGGAAGAGCAGGAATTACATTTTAATCTTAGGGAGGTGCGCGCGCGTGTGCTCGGCGCTGAGGGGAAAGCGCGTGCACATCCCCCTTCAGAACCTCCAAGACAGTTTTTGTCCCCTGGTGACCATAAAGAGACACCATGACAACAGGTCCTCCCCCTGCCCTTCAGCTACCAAAAAGCAGGGGA